TTGGCAAAGATACTAGAGTGGTTTGCCATTTCCTTCTCCAACTCATTTTACAGAGGAGGAAACTGAGGCAAACAAGGTTAAGTGACTTGCCCAGGGTCACACAGACAGTAAGTGTCTTCCTGACTCCAGGTCCAAGTGCTCTGTCCACTGAGCCACCTTGATACATAGTAGGTGATCATTAAATGGATCATAGGATCATTTTGCTTACTAGCCTTATTTTACAAATGAGGAAGCTCAGGCCCTGGAAGTATACTGCCTACGGTCACACTGTTAAAAGAATGAATGAACTGTGATATACAAAGACAAAACCTCCCAAAATACAAAAATTAGTCCCTGACCTCAAGAAGCTTACATTCTACTGGGAAAGAGATGGGGGTGAGAGAAAGCCCATAGAACATGCACTTAGATAAATAAATCCAAAACAATTTCTGAAGAAAGAGCACTGACAATTGGGGGAGGGGGAGAGGATCAGGAAAACTTTTGTGCAGGAGGTGGCACCTGAGTGTGGACTTTGAAGGAAGCTAAGGATTCTAGGAGGAAGAAGTGAGGAGGGAAGGCACTCCAGGCATGTGGCACAGCCTAGTCAAAGGCATTGAAGGATGATGTTCAGTTGGGAAACATTTGGTGGGGCTAGTTTGGTTCTAACATCGAATAAGGGGATGGGAAGGCATAGAGGAGTGGATTGCTATTTTGGGATGTTGTTGTAAAAGTTCTAGTGATTGGTAATAGGAGCTTATACTAAGGTAGTGCTGTTGGGAGTAGAGAGAAGGGGGCAGAAAGAGAGAATGGGAGAGGCATCATAGAATTGAATAGACTAACACATTTGTCCCTTCATTCTGGAGTTCCCAGAAGTGAGGAAGTAACTTGTCCAAAGCTTCACATCTCAGAAGAGGTTAGGCAGAGGACAAAGTGAAAAAGCCTACACCAGATTTTTTGAATGTGGTAAGTTAGTGGTGGTGTCAGAAATACAAGCAGAAGGGGCAACTAGGTGGCACAGTGGATAGAGCTCTAGCCTTGGAGTCAGGAGGACCTGAGCTCAAATCCAGCCTCGACAGTTGACACTTACTAGCTGTGTGACCCTGGGCAAGTCACTTAACCCTGATTGCCTCACCAAAAAGCCAAAAAAGGAAAAAAAAAGAAATCTAAACAGGGAAGTCAGGAGTGGAACAGGTTTTGGGAGAAATGAAAGTTTAATCTGAGGTGCTAATGGGAAACCCAGGTGGAAATGACCAATAAGCAATTGGAGATAGGAGTCTGAAGCTTGGGAGAAAATTCCAGGTTGATTGTAAATATTTAGACATTATCTATATGAAGATGATGATTGGAATAATGGTAGTGAATGAATTTGTCAATAAAAATTGGAGGGAATGTTTTGGATATAGTCTTTTCTTCTGGTTTTCCCATTTTAGAGCATTATGCTCTTCATTTCCATCCAGTGATTAGCGAAACGTGTTACACATTAGAAAGAGCTTGTTTGACTGTACAGTTTATCGTTGATTCACATTTTCTACTAGTATATCAAAGACATTTCATAGGTGTATGTTGTCAGACATGGCCAATGATTTGGTTTGTTTTGCTTAGTTATAAGTTGCATGGGAGAATTTTATGGTATCAAGGAGAGGGAGCATCATTAGGAAATGACAGAGATGTGCATTAAAGAAAAAAAATCCATAAAATACTTGTTTAACACAGTAACAGTAAGAACAACAAAAAGCTCCTAACAACTCTGACTTAATGTTTAACATTCTACCCTTTTGTTTGTCCCTCATACCTGGCCTGCTTTTCCCAGTCAGAGCCTTCCTGTTCCTTTATTATTTTCAGTACAGTCAGTCTTTCTATTTGTAGCACTTGTGTTGCCTAGGGTTATGATTAAACACTAACAATTAGGCTAGAACACCTCTTCTGTGGTATCCCCAGTGGAGGGGGTATATGCAAGCAGAAGATGCTTACCTTATGTTTTTCTTGCTTACATAGGCTCTCTCTGCCCTTAGGCCCTAGGCTTCTGTCTTTTTTGCCCTTTTGAGGGTTTAAGGGTACAAACACTATCCCTTGTAGGAAAGTAGCCAACAACTAGAAGCACTTAATTGGGAAGCTTGCTTGGAAACATATAAATCAACATACAATATGATAAATTAAAGTCTTCATAAAAAGTTTGCATTATAAAGTTAACTCCTTTGATTTGTAGATCATAATAGAACTTTCATAATAAGATTGTAGATTTCTGTTTCTGTACTGATATAGTTCTTTTTCATTCCCATAGGTAATTTAGTTCATAGCATTTGATTTTAAATTTTTTTTATATCTTCCTTATTGTCATATGCTCTCCCTAATATGATGATTTGGTGGGTGCTTAGGGCATATGTTAAAGTGAGGTGGGTTTTTTTTGTATGTTTGTTTTTGGTTGTTTTGTTTTCTTATAAAATAAAAGGGTTAGCCTAGATTTGGTAGAATTTGACTATAATTTAGGAACAATATTATTGTGAAACAGCATTGGTTTCATCCTGAGAGTATCTTGATGTGGTAATACAGCCTGATCATTTTGATGTATTTCTTTTCTTGTGGCTTTGGTTTTCCTTACTAGGCCTTGTGTATATAGGTAACTTTATTATAAATTAAATGAATGGGTCCCTCATGTGTAGAATAGGGGTATCATGTGCCTCATTTCTCCCTCCACCCTATTTTAAGGGAGAATTTAATACCTGTCTGGAGAAATGGGAGGTTGGAGCCAGCTGCTAAACTTATGATAGTTCTTTCTTAATGGATGAAAGGAGGACCAAAGCTTTATATCCAAAGTTTGACCCCTTTCCCACAAAATACTAGTTCCACAATGAATTCATATAACAGATAGCAAAAAAATCCATTTATCTAAGTTGACAGCAAAACAGAAGCCAGAGAAAGTATACATAGAAGAATATATAGCAGGCAATACAGGGTGAAGGAGCTCTCTCATTGGGAGCAAGGTAACTCAGCTTATCTAAGATAGAGTACTAGATTTCACCCAATAGGAAATTCTCCAAAGTTTCAATTGTAGCAAGCTACAATTGCTTGCTGCAGAATCATCTTCTTCAGTAGCCTGAAGTGGAGTTGGCATCTTCATCTTCTCTCTTGAAAGCTGGAAGCCAGACGTGCCCGAAGTGACTTGAAGAGAGTCTCGAAGAAGGTCTGAAGGAAGCAGAGCTTTCCTCTCTCCTGTTTTTACTAACTTTGCTTGGTTCTCAAACAGGGGACATTGATTGACCTCCACCAGTGAGTCAAGAGTCCCTTGTGCATGGATTTTGGGACTCAGATTATATAAATAAGTTAAGGGTTAATTAGTGTCACAAATGTCAGAGTGTTTTAAACCCCTGAATTAGGCCATATTCTTTTTTTTTTCTTTTTTTGGCTAGACAATGGGGTTGAGTGACTTGCCCAGGGTCACACAGCTAGTAAGTGTTACATGTCTGAGGCCACATTTGAACTCAGGTCCTCCTGAATCCAGGGCTGGTGCTCTATCCACTGTGCCACCTAGCTGCCCCCTATTAGGCCATATTCTTAACCAGGTGTTTTGGTAGTTGTTTATGTGGTAGACTCATCTTAATAGTTCCTGTGTTTTAGGAGAGTGCTTAAAATATTTTTTTCTTGGCCTTCATGTCTGTAATCTATTCTTCACAGTGCCAAATTATTGTTCCTAAAACACCACTCTGATGATACTTCACTGTTTTCCTGTGATATTAAAAAATACCAAGTCAGTTACTGAAGGCCCTTCATAATTTGGCACTCACCTTTCATGTTATTTCATGTTTACTTCCTTATATATTTCTTCATTCTAGTCAGAGTATTCAGTTAGCTTTTGCTAACATTTAGCTCTCGTCTATGTGCCCTTGAACAAGTTGTCCCCTGTGTTTTCAAAGCACTCAGTGTTCACCTCTTGCAATCCCTAAATCCCTTTAAGGTGCAGCTTGGGTGCCATCTCCTTTATGGGACCTTTCCTAGTCCTCCCAGTTGTAAATGCTTTCTGGCTTTAAATTATCTTGTGTATTTATTTATCTATATATCTATATCTATATCTATATCTATATCTATATCTATATCTATATCTATATCTATATCTATATCTATCTATATATATCTATATCTATATCTATCTATCTATATATATCTATATATAGATAGATATATCTATATCTATCTATCTATCTATCTATCTATCTATCTATCTATCTATCTATCTATCTATCTATCTATCTATCTATCTATCTTATCTATCTATATTCACTGCATCTCCTGAGTAAAATGTAAGGTTGTTAAGGGTTGAGATTATTTTTGTTTATATCTTTGTATCCCTGGTGCCTGGAGCAGCTTCTTACAGGGAACTTAATAAATGTTTGAAATGAACTGAATTGAACTCATTTCAATCTAGGTACTTTTAATAAAGATGCAAAAGAAATTTACCCAGTCAGCAACGGTGAAGAGAATTCACCGTTAAGATGAGCTTTGTAGAAAAACCTTGTACAACATGGACTTAAATCTTTACAGGAACATTTTTATTTTTGTTTTAAAATTTGGGTACACTATTTCTTGGGAAAGAAAAGAAAAAAAATACAACTAATCAGTAGAACAGATTCCACTAAGTGAATTACTTCCAGTTAACTATATTTTAACTCTTTACCTTATATCCATCTACTTATTTCATTTTTTCAATATAGAGTAGCTTGTGTAATGTGTAAATTTAGGTAGTGAACTTTTTTTCCTCTCTCTAGTATAAAAGGTTTTAGTGAATCACAAAAGGCAGACATGATTTACTTGACTTCTTTGAAAAACAGGAAAATTAAATGTTTGATTCAAGAATCTCATATTTTATCCTGAACTGATTTTGCATCTGTACTTTTAAAAATGCAAGACAAAAACCCAGTCAGTGGAGATAGCAGCTAGAGTAGTTGCTTTATAGAATCATGGTAACTATGCTTGTTCTAATCCAGTGGTCCTTCCTATGACTGCTCCCTTTTTCCCCTCAATTACAGGTGAGCAGAATGGTAACCGGAATCCTGGTGGACTACAGATTGGTGACCTAGTAAACATAGATCTTGATCTAGAAATTGTACAGTCTTTGCAACATGGGCATGGAGGATGGACTGATGGCATGTTTGAGACTTTAACTACAACTGGAACAGTTTGTGGCATTGATGAAGATCATGACATTGTAGTACAGTACCCGAGTGGCAATAGGTTGGTGACATTCAGTTTTAGATAGTAACACACTTGGGATGTGTATATAAAAGTTAGAAAAAAAATGGATGTAACTAAAAAGCTTTTTAATTTGGAGACAAGTAGAATTTGACTTAATAGAGAAAAACTTAAAGTATTCCACTTTAGGAGGAAAAATAAACAATAAGGAAATACTGCCTCTAACTGTGGCCTTGGGCAGGCTCCTTAACCTTTATGCACCTTAGGCATCTCTCTAATACTATACATTACAAAGATGGTGCTGACCTACATTGGTAGAGGAAGTTTCCTTATGCCAATGAAATTACAGGTCTAATCCCTCTTTCTATCCCTAACGAGAAAAGATTTTATAAGACTGACCTGAAACAAATGAAGCAGAGAAAGTGCTGAAAGTTGTAATGTGTCATAGAAGACTGCCCTGAATAAGTAATGTTGTACCTTTTTATTTACATTTGCATGTTATTAGAAAGTTAATAGGAATGTGGTATTCAAGAATTAGAAAATAATTCAGTTTTGCTTGGCTTTCGTTAGGTCCTAAGAGTTTAACGTCTGATTTTGACAGTCACATTTTGAGAGGTGTGATGACCCTAAGAAGATGTAGAAATGACCAAGAGAATATTGAGAGAGATTAAATAGGCCTTGTAAAGAAATTGTGAAATGAGCTCAAGTTGTTTAACCATGACAGTAATAACAAAACCAATTCCAATGCTTTTTATTTATTAAAAATAGCAGTTATTTTATCCACCTATGCAGTAGTTTGAAGAACATTAACAATAAAAGAATAATAGCAAGATAGTGACTTGTCCCAGGACTGTTTCTTTCTGAACTCCATGGAAAAAGATAGAGATTAATAATATTAATAATACAAAGGGACACTTAAAAAGTGCTTTAAGATTTTAGAAGTACTTAAATACATTCCCTCATTTGATCCTCACAACAGCCTCATGAGGTAAGTACTAACAATATTATCTCTATTGTATAGATGAGTAAATGGAAGCTAAAAGGTTTAATGACATACCTAGAGTAACATATCTAGTATATGTGCTGGTTGGGGACAGGGAAAAGTCATTTTTAGAACTCGGGTGTTATTGACTCTAAGGGCTACATACTATTGATTATGCTATGGATTATCATTATATTAAGGGTTATTCAAGTATACTAGCCAGTTTCCCTCTTTTTCCTTATGCAGGCAAAGGAATCTAGTTAAATGATGTAATTGATTATAGGGACAATGAATTACTGTACTAGGCTATTTAGGGGAGTTGTGGAATTTCCATTTCTGAAGGTATTTTTAAAATAGAATTGATGGGCACAATATGAATAGTTGCTCAAATTTTATATCATTATATATACATTATTTAATTCAATGCAAAAACACTGCTTAAAAGTATATACTGGTTAGCAATACTATCATTATTTTTTGGTGTGGAAAGAAAGCCAATGGACTTGCTCAGTAACTAGGAAAACTCCAAGTCAAACTTGTGTCTTCTGACTGTAGATCTAGTGTTCTTACTTACTGTTGTGTGCTCCCTCCTTATGTGGCTGTTAGCTTCTGGCGTGGTTTGCCTTAAGCAGAGACTAGCATAGAATGACCCTGGAGTTATTTTCTGGTTCTGATTTTTCTTAATTAAGAATTAGGTAAATACTTTGAGAAGAGACTCTCCTCTCCACCCTTTTTTGGAGGTATACATTGTGGTAAAACTTATTTTGCAGTGAAATCCCCGTCTGACAGTAAGACAGGAGGAGTTTAGGGGTCAACATAGTTTGTGTGCAAGCCACAAATTTTGTGAGTTTAAAAACTGCATGTAAATTATTTTAAATTTTATAATTTTAGATTTTTTTCTTGCCTTATCCATGCTTGTTTTCTTCTCCTAAAATGTGGATAATGAAGAATTGTTATATATCATGTGATACAAATCTTCCCAATGAGATTGTTAAAGATATTCTAAAAGGTTGGGTTTTTTTTCCTTTTAAGCTTGTGTAAGCTTGTCACCATAAAATTGAGTTACAGCATTTTCATTTTCCAAACCCTTAATATTTCGATTTCTATATGCTCTTAGGCACTATTACTTTTCCAGATCACTTGAGTATTTTTTTTTCAGACAGAATTTTCAGTAACATATTAAATTGCTTTATGCTACTTTTTCATTTTTTTGGCATATGTATAATTTAACTCAACTTTAAAATAGTGGTCCTGTTCCTTGCAAATCTACAGATGAGGAAATATCATAAATTGATTATGTATGTGTGTGTATGTGCACCCTGTATAATTATATATGAACGAATTATAATGGATTGTATGTTCACAAATTGATTATAAGATGATTTTAAAAGATCATTACAATTTATTTCTTTAAAAAAATTAAAATATTTTGCAAATATTTTGAAGATTGAATTTGGTGCTGACATTTAAAAATATTTTCCTTCTTAGAAAACTCATTGTCAAAAATAGTTCAACTTGAAGAATTAAAAAAATATATATATAATTTGCCATTTATTTTTATTTTTCAGATGGACTTTCAATCCAGCTGTTCTCACTAAAGCTAATGTTGTCCGAAGTGGGGATGCTGCACAGGGTGCAGAAGGGGGTACTTCACAATTTCAAGTGGGTGATCTTGTTCAGGTTTGTTATGATCTAGAAAGAATTAAGCTTCTACAAAGAGGTCATGGCGAATGGGCAGAAGCTATGCTTCCTGTAAGTATATAAAAATGGGACATTTGATTAGGTGAACTTGTTATTAGTTTATATTTTGTTGATTTGTAAGCAGATAAGTGTAAAATTTCCTGGAGTTGAGTGAGCTATTATTTATTGAAAGGTGAACCTTTAATTTTTTTTTTCAGTTAAGAATTAATGAAGGGGGGGAAGGTAAGGAATATAGAAAAGTTAAATTTCCTTCCCAGAGACATTTCATCCATTGCTTCACTTTCTAACAATAATAATAGCTCAAATTTATTCCCATTTTACATAAAAGGAAACTGAAGCTTTGAGAGATTAAGTGATTTGGCCATGTTCATACAATTACTGTAAGTGTGAGGCAGGATTCAGACTTAGAATTCATAGACAATAGATTCCATCCCCTCCAGATATGGTGAACAGAAAAGATAGAATTTTCTGTAGCCTGAGTTAGGCGGTGAGGAAAAGCATTATTAATTGGCACTTCATGTATAATTAATTTTATTTTTGAAAGGTTGTGTTTTGGGATCCTTTTTTGTTATTATTTACAGTGAAAATTGTCATGCTGTAAATTTTCATTCTAGAGAGGTGTTGTAGAGAATCAGAAGCCTGATGTAGGCCCTGCTTTGTGACCCTTGAACAATTACTTAGCCTCTCTGGACTTCATTTTCCTCCCCTAAAATGGGGATAAATGTTTGCACTACCTGCTTCACAGGAGTGCTGGAAAGAAAGAGCTTGGTAAACCTTGAAAGCTATAGAAATGTGAGTTATGAAAATAATGCTTCTTTCCTTTTGAGGCTGCAGCACTTAAATAATTTTTTCCATTATTCATAAGCATAATTTTTCAGGGTTCCAGAGCTTAATACTTGATTTTTAAAATCAGCTGTATACTAGAACTTCAATATAAGTTCTGGTTTCAAGATGAGTTTTGCTACGGGGCAAAACTGTTTCATACACTGATATTTTGTTGATTTGATGCAGTAGTTAATATCTCTCCAGATGTACTTACTGTTGTGGTGGTTTTTGAGGTGAAGAAACATTGACACTTAAGATAATGATTTCTCAAGACCTTTCCCCTCAGGAGGCTTGCAGTCATTGTGATTTAGTGCTTTTAGTAGTTATTTTATTTATCTATTTATTTTATTAGAAGGTTTCTGCTGCCCTTTCAGTGTATTTTCACTTTAGAACTTTACTTGAAGATTAAATATTTTGCATTAACTACTTAACAACATTAATTTCTGTGAGTGATAAATTAGCTTGAACACTTGCCTTATATTATATGGTGTCCTTGAAGAGAGAGCTCATTTATATAACCTGAATGTTGTTTATTGTAAGTTTTGTTTTTCTTTTTTGGCTCATTGTCCTAATATAAAAGTAGCTTGTAAGAAGGAGAAGAGGTAGTGCTCTCTTAGTTTAAAAAAAAATCAATATATGATGAAAGGGGGATTTTTATGAAAAATGGTAGATTGAATGATTTTGTTAAATCTTTGTTTTTATTCTTTGTGAAACTGTTCAGCAATAATTCTGATTTTATTTTAGGGAGATATTTTAATAAAACTACAGCTACTAATTTCATGTATTAGTACATTGTACTATTTAGTTCACAGATGTAGAACCTACTTCAGTAAGATTAGCATTTTTTTTTTGGTTGAGCTAAAAGCTAAACTCAGGTGTCATTTAAAAATATATTAATAATGACAAACAAATTACTTTGTGACAGTCATTTTATATGTGAAAATTTATGGCTGTTTGTCATATTTTTAAGACCTTAGGGAAAGTTGGCCGTGTACAGCAGATTTATTCAGACAGTGATTTAAAGGTAGAAGTTTGTGGGACATCTTGGACATATAATCCTGCAGCTGTTTCCAAGGTGGCATCAGCAGGATCAGCTATTAGCAATGCATCTGGGGGTATGTACTTTTTAAAAAAATGGTTTATTTTTTAAATGTGTTCAAGGGCAAAGTATAATTTTAATTATAAATAAGTTACATAAAAAATTTGGATGACGTACTGTGTTATTTTATAGTGCTCTCCATTCTTGTTTCTCTTTTTTTAATTAATTGTTTTAATTAAATAGTTTGCTTCAAGTTGGAGCAAAATCATCCTCTGGCAGTGATAAGTAAATAAAAGAAGTAGATGAAGGGAGTACAGTAATGTGTATGGTATCTTTCCAATTTTCCTCTACTTGCTTTCCTTTTCAGTAAATGTATCTAAGAACCGGGTTGTGAGGGCTTTTTGTTGGTGAACACCTGTAGTGGCTGATACTGTTTTGGTTCAGATTAGCAGGAAGGAGGATTGCCTGTGAAAATGGCTTATAAAAGTGGTAACCCTCTTGCTAGTTATGCCTTATTTTGATTAAAACAAAGCAGACAGTAACTTTAGAAATATATCATTAGGATTTAGAATTGTAGTCTCAACTAAAAAAAGATTAAATACCATTTTTACAAAAACTTAATATATGATATTATAAAGAATTGTTATAATTGTAGAACATCGAATTCCTAAGACTTTAGTAGGACTGGCTATAAAATCTATTGTGCTTGAAAGTGAAAGTTGGGATAATTATTTTCATTTTTCAAATACCAGTCTTTGAGCAATGTAAAAAACTTGTTTTTCAATGTGAATTCCATCATAGTATGTCAGTTCATAACATCTTTGTTATAAATACAAATTTTTGAATTGCCTTTACTATGCAAATCTGTTTCCAAATTCATGAAACAGTGATTTTGAAGAAACACGTTAATACTAGTTTCTATAGTATACCATAATTTCAGGTCGTATAATTATGGCTTATATGATAAATTATTTGTAATATAGGAAAAAGAAAATAGTTTGCAGTGTAATAATTCTAGAAGTAATTAAGACATAGTAAAACATGTCTTCTAATGTTTTAAATTCTGAGTTCCATCATTTTCCTATATCCACAGTTTTACTTTGTATTTTCAGAGAGACTATCTCAACTCTTGAAGAAACTATTTGAAACTCAAGAGTCTGGGGACCTTAATGAAGAATTAGTTAAAGCTGCTGCTAATGGAGATGTTGCTAAAGTAGAAGATTTGTTAAAGAGACCAGATGTTGATGTAAGCATTTGTAATTTATAAGTGTCTCTAAACTTAACAACCCTTTTCACTTTCAGATGGTTCAGTTTCCTTTTGGAGAAGTTTAATATCAATTTTTCTCTTCCAGAATAAAAATTTGGCCTAGGTTGCCCTCTATTTGATGGTAAACAACTTTGTTATTTTCATTATCCCCTGTTTCTTAAAGGGGATAATAAGCTTTCTCAGCTTATTTTGTATGAAAAACTGTCAAGCTAAATTCTTTTGAAAGTAGTGTGTGTATGCCCTTCATATATAAAATACATATATATATATAGAGAAAATCATATATAAGGCATATATACATATATAATCACTCTACTATCACATCAGTAGGATATATGCTTTGAGATTTTTTTTTAATATATTTTCCCTGAATCAGTGATACACTCTCAAGTCTCTTTTGTTACCAAAAACTCATGTGTGCGAAATAACTAGCTTGAGTTAAAGGTGAATTCTTTGACATTGGATGTGAATGAAATTGACATTTGGGGATGAAATTTGAGGATTTGGCCTTGTTAGCATCATACTATGACTGTTTTTACAACGTCCTTTATGATCAAGGAGATGTCATTGCAACTTAAGTCTCTGTTCTTCCTATGCAAAGATGTGTCCTTGTTCCTATTCAAAAGAAGCAGGATAGGTAAAAATGGTGGAGAGAAGGATTGGTATAATGTTGTATGTACAGAGGGTATACCCATGTGAAGAAAGGGAAGAAGCAGCATGTTGGAGAGCATTTGAATGAAACTAAGTAGAGGGAGAATCAAAAGTGATTATATTCTTGGAGTATAGAACAGAAGACAGGGTCAGAAAGATAAAATAGAGTTTGGGAAACAGATCACTAGCCTAATGAGGCATGATCTAGTAGTAATGGTGGGGGACTTCAGTTATTTGGATTTTTGAGGCTTTTTCTTTCTGCAAAAGGGATGTATCTTATAATTTCTTGATTTGTCTTTATGATAATTTTATCCTTCAAAAGATGAAGGAACCAATAATGGGAAACTCTGTTCTGCATCTGATTCTCACTAACAGGGTGGTACTAATTGCTGGGGTAGAACTAAAGGGGGCCACTTGAGGAATTGAACACTCCTCTTACAGTTTTTGGTAGAGGAGAAGAAATCCAGAAATAGTCTTATGTGTACCCTAGGATTTAGAAAAGCAGATTTCAGAAGATTCAGAGAAAAAATAGAATTCCATGGACTAAAAAAAATTTTTTAATTAATTTAGTTTTAGTTTTCAACAATCACTTTCATATGCTTTTGAGTTTCAAATTTTTTCCCCCTCTTTCCCTGCCTCCCTCCCCAAGACAGCATGCAATCTGATATAGGCTGTACATAAATGTTCCTGTTAAACATATAAATTAGTCATGTTGTGAAGAAGAATTGGAACCAATAGGAGGAACCACAAGAAAGAAGAAACAAAACAGAAGAAAAAAAAAGAGCGAATAGTGGGCATTCAAACTCCATAGTTCTTTCTCTGGATGTGGATAGCATTTTTCCATCATGAGACTTTTGGATATGTCGTAGATCCTTGCATTGCTTAGAAGAGCTAAGTCTATCAAAGTTAGTCATCACACAACGTGGCTGCTATAGTGTACAACATTCTCCTGGTTCTGCTTACAAGTTTTTTCCATGCTTTTCTGAAATCTGCTTACTCATCATTTTTTATAGCACAGTAGTATCTTTTTTTAATATAAATTTGTTTATTTTTAGTTTTCAACATTCCCTTCCACAAGTTTTTGAGTTCCAGATTTTCACCCCCTCTCCCCCCCCCCCACCCCAAGATGTCATGCATTCTGAATATCCCTTCCCCTACTCTGTCCTCTCTTCTATCTGTCTCCCCTTCTCTTATCCCCTTCCCCTTCTATTTTCTTGTAGGGCAGGATAGACTTCTGTTCTCCATTTCCTATATTTATTTCCCAGTAGCATGTGAAAACATTTTTTTAAAGATATGTTTTTAAAACTTTAGGTTTCAAATTTTCTCTCTTCCTCCCTCTCCACCCACCCTCATTGAAAAGGCAAGCAACTCAGTAGTTGTACATGTACAGTTATGTAAAACACGTCCATAGTAGACATGTTGTGAAAAACTAACTCTATTTCCCTTAATCCTATCCTGCCCTCCCATTTATTCTATTCTTTCTTTTGACCCTGTCTCTCCTCAGAATTATTTACTTCTGATTAACCCCTTTCCCAATCTGCCCTCTTCTCTATCATCCCCCTGTTCTCTTGTCCCCTTTCCCCCCTATTTTCCTGTAGGGTAAGACAGATTTCTATACCCAATTGAATGTGTATGTTATTCCCTCCTTAAGCCAAATCCTATGAGAATAAGATTCATTCATTCCCTCTCACCTTCCTCTGTTTCCCCTTCCACTGTAAGAGACTTTTCTAGGTTTTTTTTTGTGAGATAATTTACCCCATTCTACCTCTCCCTTTCTTCTTCTCTGAGTATAATCCTTTCTCATCCCTTAATTTTATTCTCCAGATATGACCCCTTAAACTTCAGCTCACTCTGTGCCCTCTATCTATCTATCTATCTATTTACATATATATATAGATATAATTTTTTTCCTCCAACTACCCTGATACTGACAAAGGTCTCATGAGTTATAAATATCATCTTTCCATGCAGGAATGTAAACAGTTCAATCTTAATAGTCTATTTGATTTCTCTTTCCTGTTTACCTCTTCATGTTCCACTTGAGTCCTGTATTTGAAGTCAATTTTCTATTCAGCTCTGGTCTTTTCATCAAGAATGCTTGAAAGTCTCTATTTCACTGAATGACCATTTTTTCCCCTGAAGGATTATACTCAGTTTTGCTGGGTAGGTGATGCTTGGTTGTAATCCTATCTCCTTTGCCCTGCAGAATATTATGTTCCATGCCCTGCGGTCCTTTAATGTAGAAGCTGCTAAATCTTGTGTTATCCTGATTGTGTTCCACAGTATTGAACTGTTTCCTTCTGGCAGCTTGTAATATTTTCTCCTTGACCTGGGAACTCTGGAATTTGGCTACAATATTCCTAGGAGTTTTCCTTTGGGGATCTCTTTCAGGAGGAGATCTGTGGATTCTTTCAATTTCTATTTGCCCTGTGGTTCTACTATATCAGGGCAGTTTTCCTTGATAATTTCTTGAAAGATGATGTCTAGGCTCTTCTTTTGATCATGGCTTTCAGATAGTCCAATAATTTTTAAATTCTCTCTCCTGGATCTATTTTCCAGGTCAGTTGTTTTTCCAATGAGATATTTTGCATTGTTTTCTAATTTTTCATTCTTTTGGATTTGTTCTACTGTGTTGTGATTTCTCATGAAGTCACTATCTTCAATTGCTCTATTCTATTTTTAAGGAAGTATTTTCTTCTGTAAGTTGTTGGACTTCCTTTTCCATCTGGCCAATTTTGCTTTTTAGGGCATTTTTCTCCTCATTGGCTTTTTGGACCTCTTTTGCCATTTGGGTTAGGCTATTTTTTAAGGTGTTATTTTCTTCAGTATTTTTTGGGGTCTCCTTTAGCATCACTCTCAGTTTTTCCTCTACTTCTCTAACTTGCTTCTCAAAATCGTTTTTGAGCTCTTCCATGGCCTGGGACCAATTCATATTTTTCTTTGAGGCTTTGGATGTAGGGGCTTTGACTTTGTTGTCTTCTTCTGGTTGTGTATTTTGGTCTTCTTTTTCACCAAAGTAAGATAATATAGTCTGACTCTTTTAGCGCTGCTTGCTCATGATCCCGGCCAATTACTTGAGTTTTAAACACTTTGTTAAGGTACGAATCAGCTTCCAATGTGGAGTATGTACTGTCCCAAGCTTCAGGGGTTTGTACAGCTGTTATCAGAGATACTTGTAGGGACCTGTAAATTTTCAATTCTTGCAAGGTGGTATGATAAGGGGTGAGGTGTTTGCTCCTTTCCTGGCCTGTGACCACAAGTATTCCTTTCTGTCTTGTAACTGTGAGGAGGGGTTCCTCTCCACAGCCACTACAAGTTCCACCACGCCAACGTTCCGCCTCACCCCAGCACTGCCACCCAGAACTGTGACCCAGATCCAAACACAGGCAAAGCAAGAGATTCCTGCCTCCACACTGGCAAAGAGATCCCTGCAGTCCCTCTCTGATCAGCCACTGGATTTCCCCTCAGTCTGTGGGCCGGAAGCTCGGGAAGCAGCTGCCCCCCCCACAGGGCCACACTCTTGGGGAATGGAGCTGAAACCCCGCCTTCCTTTCTCAGGCACCAACAGAAACAGACTTTTCCCACTGACCTTCTAATTTGTCTTTGGTATTGGTGGATTGAGGAGTCTGGAAACCTCTACAGCTGCCCAAGATTCAGTCCTCTGAGGCCTGCTCCAGGTTTGCTGCAGCCTGCGCGCCCATGCTGCGCTGCGCTGCACTCCCAGCCCGGCACAGTACACCTTTCTGATCAATCATCCAGGTTGTCTTAGGCTGGAAATTTGTTTCACTCTGTCTTTTTGTGGGTTCTGCTGCTTCAGAATTTGTTTAGAGCCATTTTTTATGAGTTTGTGGAGGGGTTTGGAGGAGAGTTCAAGCAAGTCACTGCTTTCACTCTGCCATCTTGGCTGCGCCCCCTATAGCACAGTAGTATCCCATTACATTCATATACCACAACTTGTTTAGCCATTCCCCAGTTGATGGGCATCCCCTCAATTTCCAATTTTTTGCCACCACAGCAAGAGCTGCTATAAATATTATTGTACATGTGGGTCCATTTCCCATTTGTATGATCTCTGGGATACAGCCCTAGAAGTGCTATTGCTGGATCAAAGGGCATGCACATTTTTATAGCCTTTTGGGCATAGCTTCAAATGGCTCTCCAAAATGATTGAATCAGTTCACAATTCTACCAACAATGCAATAGTGGTCCAATTTTCTCACATTTTATCTAGCATTTATCATTTTCCTGTTTTGTCATGTTAGGCAGTCTGGTAAGTGTGATGTGGTACCTCAGAGTTGTTTTGATTTGCATTTCTCTAATCAATTGTGATTTAGAACATTTTTTCATGTAACTAGATAGCTTTAATTTCTTCCTCTGAAAACTGCCTGTTCATATCCTTTGACCATTTATCAGTTGAGGAATGACTTGTATTCTTATAAATTTGACTTAGTTCTTTGTATGTTTTAGAAATGAGGGGACTAAAATTTTTAAGGGGAAGAACGACTGAGGTCTTTTCCAGCTCCTAAATTCTTTTAATTCTTTTGTCATAAGGCATTCAGTACTGCTGTTTTCCAAAAAAGCAAAAAATATAAACTTGCCCATAGAAACTAAGTAATAGTAGTTTTCAAATTTTGCCTTTTCAGTTTTCATCAAACAGTTGGTGTGGACCAGGCCTGCACAACCTGCAGCCTGCCAAAGGATTTTGGGTGGCCTGTGAATAATGTAGAGGATGTTTTTCTCTGCGTTTTTCGAGGGCTGCTCAAAATCTTTTGGTGTGCTGCAAGTGGCCTTTGGGCCACAAGTTGTGCAGGTCTGGTATAGACCCATGATTCCCAGTTTCTTCAAGTAAAACCCTTATTTAACCCTAAAAAATTTCAGATTTTGCACATAATAGTAGTTATAGTAGATGAGAGTATATGTAAAAGTGGTTTGCAGATGTTAAAATGCTTTATAAATGATCAGTTGTTTGTACTGTTAACATCCATTGAGGAAATAGATGACTAAATTCCATTGACTGTATTCTTTCTTTCACTATAACATAATCCAGTTTCACAGTGATTTTTTAATTTAATCCAATTAAAATGTACATTTCCGTAAGAAGGGCCTTATGAAATCTTAGTAAACAGCTCAGATGGCCTACTTTGGGAGAGGCATCTTGTCCAAAGAAAATGTCATACTTTATTCCCAAAAGGCAAAGAAATTTCTTTTCCATTTAGAAAAAAGGAAGCAGTATTAATATAAAATTGTTTACAAAACCCTGTTACAAATATTGTGTATTTTATGGAGCTAAAGAAATAAATAAACGACGACTTGGTGCATATGTGGAATTAAGTATCTCTTGCAATAACTCCTTGGTCCCCCAGGGGTCCTTATCCTACTCTTTAGGAAATTTAAGAGTATAGCCATTAGGTGAGATTAGGTTAGTAGTGAAGGCAAATGACAAAATCATGTATTATATTTGCTGTGACACAGTTGAGTCTTTAAAATTTAAGAGAGGAAGAGAAGTCTTATAAACACTTTGAGTTTCCTCCAGTGTAACAAGTGTAGGAATTTACTTCTTAGTGAGTCATAACTACAAAGAATGTCCCCTTGTACATCATAATTATGTTCTTTTGGTAGCTTCTAGAAAAATATATAGTTCCTTCATTTCTATACTCACGATATAAAGAATAGTGATTAAGGAGAATAATATCATAACTACTTATTGTTTATGGTTTAGGGAATGATAGCAGTTACAAATGGCAGTAAGAGGCAGAGACTGTCATAATAGGGTTTTTTTTTGGTCATAGACTTGTGATATAATGCCTCAGTGAGTGATTTGAGTGAATCTGTTGTTTTAGCAGACATAATCAATTCTTAACCTTACTAAAATTTTTATAGGTGGCTGTCACAAAGATGCATTTGCTTTATAAAGGAAGTTAGGAATTATGACCCTTCTCACAGTGTTTGTGGCAGCAAAGCTAATGGTTTTCTGCAAGGGAAACTCATGACGAGAGGATATTTGTTTGCCTGTAAACTGTTGGCTTTCAGTGGAAGAACCCTGTGAAACATAGTGGGGGGTTTTTTCCCCTCTCTTTTCTCCCCTTCTTCCATTTTTCTAGAGCTTTTTTATAAAATAAACCATGTTTATTAATAGAAGGTAATGGGAATATAGAGTTCTCTAGCCAAGTTCTCTAGTGTGTTGTATCTGTTTGCTAAAATGAGATATACCTGTACATGTTTACCCATTCCAACCCCCTTATGCAGAACTAGCTAAAAGCAGTCAGTCAGTAGACATTTGTTCAGTATTTACTGTGAACATGTCACTGTACTAAAAAGCAGGTAGAGTGCCCACTGTAACTCCCATGCTGTGCTGTCGTATTTTTGTTGGTTTTGTTGCCTTTAAAAAGGGTATTGATTCAAATCCAGCCTCCGACCAAACACCTGACATGTACTAGCTGTGTGACCCTGGGCAAGTCACTTAACCCCAATTGCCTTTAAAAAAAAAAGGGTTATTGATTTCAGATTCTAGAAGTGAACATGCATGGAAATATAATCCCAGCCCCCATTATTCTTCGTATTATTGTCTCCAGACTAGCATGATGTGGTCGAGATCCTACATCTCTAACTGTTCTTCATGAAAAGTTTTCTATTAAGTCCATTTAAAAACTTCAAAAAAAATTATTTACTCTTAAACTTAGTAACCATCAACAAAAACGTATTCAAATAAAGCAGAAAAGATAAGACTTGAAAGCATGAATTCTGTTATTTGCAGTTTGCTTTAAAAATTTATAAAATAACAGATTTGTAAAATAACAAGTATGCTATTTACTTCCATGGTAGAAACTTAGCTCAGATTTAGGAATATAAATGGAAAAATAAAGATAGTATCAAAAACTTTACTTCATACTCTATGCACACTGAATTTGTGGCTGTTAAAAAAGAATTAGCTTGTGCAATCACAGATATGTGAAGATAACTGACATTTTAGAATTTTAAAGACCATTGCATATGATATCTTTTGGGTATTTAGAGTTATGCTTAGCTATCCTGACAATCATTTTATTTTGTTTTTTTCAGGTAAATGGACAATGTGCTGGACACACTGCCATGCAAGCTGCTAGTCAGAATGGACATGTTGACATTTTAAAACTGCTTTTGAAGCAAAATGTGGATGTAGAAGCAGAGGTAATTAAATAACTAGTCTCAACAAAAATATAGGCACATGTGGAAATGTTATAGTTGAAAATAGTTGAATTATATGCTCCTATTCCTCTAACTATATCAATTTTATTTTTAATTTTCACTTCAGGGCCATCAGCACTTTTTGATTTTTTAAAAAAGTCAAGTCAGTAAGCATTTATTAAGTGCCTGTGCTAAACGCTGGGCATACAAAGACCCCTTCCCTCATCCCATAAAAAATCCCCAAGAGAACAATTTCTACTCTCAAGAAGCTCCTAGTCTTATAGGAGGGATCCATACAAATAGCTACGTACAATAAACAAGACACATGCAGGATAAGTTTGAGATAAAATTGAGGCAAGGTAGTAAGATCAAGGAAGACTAGGAAAGAAATAACCCTAGCATTTATGTAGTTCTTCAAGGTTTGCAGAGTACTTTACTGTGTTAGCTCATTCAATCCTCACAACAACCTTGTTTGGTAGGTGATATGATTATACTCATTTTATAGGTAGGGAAATAGACACACACAGAAGTTAAAACTTCGCCAGGATCACACAGCTAGTAAGGGTCTGACCCAGGATCTGAACTAAGGTCTTCCTCACTCTTTGTTTCTTTTACTCTTTTTGGTGGGTCAGTCAGGGTTAAGTGACTTGCCCAGGTCACACAACTAGTAAGTGTTAAGTGTTTGAGGCTGAATGTGAACTCAGGTCCTCTTGACTCCAAGGCCAAACCCTGCCCTCTTCCTGACTTAAATCCTACACTATCCACTGGGCAATTTGAGAACCACAAGAGAACCTTATTCAAACATTTTCATTTTATAGGTGAGGAAATGAAGGGCTAGAACAGGGCATTGTCCTCTATGTAATTCTTGTTTTCTTTAGTAATGCTGGATGAGTATAAGAAGAAGTAGGATAAATGCTAATTGCATGCTCATTTGCTGAGATTGAATGGCTGGCTGGTTAGCAGGAAATCCACTGGTGTTTGTGTGACTCTTTATGATGGAGCCAAGAGTTTTCTGTCACTAGTTACCCCAAACCTGCTCCAAGGCTTGTGAGAGCCTTCTAGCATTCTAGTGACAGGCTCAGTGGGCATCTTTTTATTCCACGTCATTGTTTCCTTCTATTAGCAGAGATTGAAGGTAGTGTGTATCAAATATCTTATCTTTCTAGTTTATTATAACTTTAGCTAAGTTTGTCCCTAGAAATTTTTTATCCAGATATGACTTCTGCTTAATGTGATGAAGAAGAGAATAACTTTGTTCTTGTTGTTATCACTTTTCTTCCTGCTAAAATCATATTGACCTGTGTTGGCGTATCTTCTTTAGGCTTATTTAGAAATGCGTCACATTTTTTTTATTGTTATTTTAGGTTATATAAATACAGGTTTTTTTAACATCTTGTTTAAAGAGCAGTATCACTTAACTAAGTGCGTTCCTTGCAGAAGCTTTACTTTTTGAATGTGAAACTGTTGTGTAATGTTAATAATGAAAAATTAATCTATAGTGTCCTAAAAGTGGGAAAGCACATCATGCTTCTTGTAGGTTTTGTGGTCATCTTTAGCTAAAAAAAGTGTCACCTTTTTTTTCCCTCAGGGATTATAATGGTGGTGATTTAAGATTTAAGGTTCTGGTCCTGCAAACACTGATTGCCTTGAATTGGGAGATATTGCTCTGGTTGCTTCATATTGTGCCATTGTAATACTATTTATTATTTTTTGATAGTTGCATATAGAGTGTATGTTTGCTTTAGTAATATTCATCTTTTTCTTTTTTCATTAATCCCTAAGCCTAGTGATTTTTTTATGGTGATTGTAAAGAGATTTAAAATAACTTCAGTTTTAACTAAGAGGAGAAGGATTACGTAATTTTATTTCATTTTGATCTGGGATGTGACATAAGAATCTTTATAGACAAGACTGCATTTTAATTTGAGTAGTTTCAAAGTAGATAAAAAAACCTTGTTGTTTCAGCTAATATAAAAGGCAGTAAAGCTGAGTTCCTTTTATGCTTGATATTTTTTTTAAAGAATAAAAAAGATTAATTGTCTGATTTTGAATTCTGTTATTAAGACTGGCAGCATGGAAGCATTGGATAAATTTGTATATACTGCCAGGCTTGGAGTTTTTGAATGATATGGGTGATGGCACTTGATGTGATTTACTTTTATTTATCTGAACAGAAAGCAGCAAGGGGCTGTGAGGTGTATCCTGTGATTTTGAAGATAAAGAGAGTAGTTGGCATAATTCTTTAAAAATGGGTCCTTTTTAGGGGGTAGGTGGGTGGTTCAGTGGGTAGAGCACCAGCGCAGGAGTCAGAAGGACCTGAGTTCAAATGTGGCCTCAGACACTTGACACTAGCTGTGTGACCCTGGGCAAGTCACTTAACCCCATTGCCTGGGCCCCCCCACCAAAAAAGGGGGGGGGACCTTTTTTTTTAATGGAGTCTCAAATACAGACTGAATTGCTTAGCTACTATTAATGCAAAGGGAATGAGTGGGAGTAAAGTTAACTCTATGAGAAATGCTATAGAATAATATCTCACTGTAGGAAATCTGAAGTTACTAGGAGAGAAATGAAATGTGTGGCACCGTCTTAAGTTGGTCCCTCTTTAGTATTTTCAGTTGTTTTTTTTTTCTTTGAAAATGTACTAGAGGCAATAGAACAGATATGACACACAAAAAAAGAAACATATTTATAAATATGATTAAAATAATCTAAAATATTCTTTAATAGCAAATTTTTAAAAAACAAATTTTCAGCAAAATAAATAGTTTCATACTATTAAAAACATTTTTCTTTGTCTAGGTTATGAGCATTTTTTTAAACCATTAATCAGACAACATTATAACTTTTTCATTTTGTGAAAAATATAAATTTTTTCATTTTTATAATTCCCATAAACTTGGCAAGTCTATTAACAGTTCATTCTTTTTTAAATTGTAAGAAGTGACATTGTCAGCAACTCAATAAAAAATATCTTGAGATTTTGTCTACCTTTTGATTTATTAATTTAGTCACCTAGGTTTATAGCCTTGGATTTGTCTTTAACTCTTCCCTTTCATATCTAATCACTTGCTATTTTGTTTTTATTTTGTTTCTCCATTTTGTCTTTATGATTAGCTTGGGGGCATAGCATGTAGGCACTGAATAAATGTTTGCTCTTTGCTGAATTAAGTGTCTTAACGTTTAACCTTTTAGATTTTCCATATAATATTGGTTACCATTAACAATTTTTAATTTGGTTGGGGAAATATTAGCAAACCAAATAATTTGGTAAATTTAAAATTTTGAGGGGTCAGTTATAGAATGATTATTCTTTGCTGTTTCTCTTTAGGGAAAATTGAAAGATGTATACTGGGAAATTGTTTGTCTCTTGGAATTTACCTTTCCTTTTCAGTACAGTAAGATTTCATATTATTTTCCTTTTAATATATAGGTAAAACTGTTGTGGAGAGTATGAAAAGATAGCTTAGCTGTATAAGTATACTAATTTTAGGCCCATCAAATTGTCGATATGTCTCATAACTGAAATGAAAGTAGTGCTAACCATGATACAAAGTGAGGTGGGACAAAAACACATAATTTTAGCCTTTAAAAAAACCTTCAACTAGGTTCTAACCAAGTGTTATTTAGAACACAAAACTGAGTTTCTGTAAGAGTGTAGCAGTTCTATGCATACTGACGTAGAATTTAATTCCAGAAACACATTGTATTATATAGTTCCTGATCATAGGTCCATAGACTTTGAGCTAGAAGGGACGTTGGAGATGAGTCTAATCTCCTTCTATTCCTGTTGAGGAAACAGGCTTAGAGAAGTGACTTGACCAGGGTCCCTCAAGTAGCAGTTGTATGGCCTGAATCCAAGTGCTCTGTAAATCCTGCACATCACAGCGTAGACTAACTAACCCTGGTGCTTTTTCTCATGGGCCTGAGAGACTAGGTAGGAAATCTATATAGCAGCAGTGTGAAAACTAAGCAAACTTGTGGTGTTTTGGTACCTTAAGGTTTTCAAAATGCTTTCCTCTTGTAACAACCCTATGAGGGAGATATGGAAAGTATTATTTTCATTTTATAGAAGAGAAAAGAGGCTCAGAGAGATTGTAATTTCCTCAAAGTTACATAATTAGTAAGTATAGTGAGTGCCAGGGCCAGAATTCAAACCTGGGTTTCTCCTGACTTTGTATTCAGTACCCTTTCCTGTTATAATATTACCTCACATTTATATATCCGTTTTAAGTTTACAAATGTCTGTCCAGAACACCATATTTACCTTTCATCTTACATAAATTATTATAAAACAAAATAGTAATGATAATTATGTAAGAGAAGACCAGGCTAAATTCTGTATGGTATTTGAGGTAGGAAAAGGCCATTAGTGATCAGCTAGAGGGTATGAGGAAGGCTTCCTTGAGAAGGGTTGGATTCTATTTATGCAAAGGATGCAAACGATGAGGACTAAAAAAGGACTTTGGATTTGTCAGCTGGTTGGTCATTGGTGAACCATGGCACAGAAGGACAGAAATTACTATTGTCAGGGGGATTGGAAGTTTGATTGCCATGGAGTTAAGTAGAGGGTTGAACAATGTGAAAGTGAAAGAAATAGTTTTAACTGGCTCGTTTAAGAACTTGGGCAGGGAAGGGAAGGAATTAGATGGGTTAGTTGGTGAATGAAGGGGGAAGGAACAACAGAAGACTTTGAGGATTGGAGGTGGTGTTTTTTTTTTTCTTCTTCCCAGTTTGTAGGCATGTTGTGAGGAGTCAGTGGAGATGAAGAGACTGGACTAGATAAATAATAACTGTTGGAGCAAAGTCTTTAAAGAGGAAGGCACAGAATGGAATCAGTAGCAAAGTATACATACTCTTAGCAAGAACATTGGCACTTATTCCTCTCAGCTAGAGGGGAACAGAATTGCGATGTTGAGGAGGCCTCTGCTGAGTGGCCTTAGGCTTGTGAAAGTAGGAGACAGAATCATCTGCTGAATGTGTGGAGTGTGAGGATTGCATTTTTAGAGGCAGGGAGAAATATGGGTTTGGAACAACTGCTGTGAGCTAGGGAGTCAGCAAGAGTATAACAGAAGCATTTCTGATATGGAATGAGAGTCCAGGATTATTGTGTTGGATCTGCAACTCATTTAGAGAGATAGTATATAGTGTAAGAATGCAAAAAAAGTTTAAGAAGATTTTAAATATTCTTGAATACTAGATTAAGGGAAGTTACGATGTCGGGGCTATATCCCCAGTTTCTTGAGGGTGACCCCTTAGAAGGCAGTTATTGTTCTTTCAGTTATTGTTCTTTCTTCCATGTTGTCTTGTGACCTAATACTGACCTTTATTTTTACATCTGGAGAATTTGAAGCGACTACTCAGGAGAGCAATAGAAATTATAAAAGGTTTGGGAAGAAGTAAAGTCGGTAAGGTGGTCTCTCTAACTCAGAGGAGCTAGAAAAAGAAACTTGGTTGTAGTCTTTTAGCACTTTACAAATAATATTGCATCCTCACAACAACACTGGGAAGTCTGTTATTATCCCCATTTTTCAGATGAGGAAACTGAAGCACAGAGAGGTTAAATGACTTGCCCCAGGATCTCACAGCTAGGAAGTGCTGAGGCCGGATTTGAACTTGGGTCTTCTTGACTCCAGGCCCACCACCTTATCTATCATACCACCTAGCTCCCAATGCTGAATGAAATATTTCTATCTTCAGTCAGTGAGCAGTCTTTACGAAGCATTTACCATGTGTCAGGCATTTTGCTGCTGGGCATTGCACTAAGAATGCAAACAACAAAATACCTACTTGCCAAGGAGCTCACCTTCTAATGGGGACATAAGATGTACATATGTAAATAAATATAAATATAAAGTTAACATACAAACATAAACAAGATTGTGAAGTACAAGGTAGTTTGTGAGGGTGGGCGTTAGCATTAGGGGCAATAAAGGAAGGCTTCATGCAAAAAATGATGCTTATACTGTGTCTTAAAAGAAGAGCAGTACTGTGAGGTGGAGGTGAGAAGGGAGTGTATTCCAGGCATTGGGCATGGCTAGTGCAAAAGCAAAGACAGATGGAGTGTCATGGGTAGAGTCGGAAAAAGCCATTTTGACTGGATTGAGTAATGTGATAGGGAGGAGTAATGTCTATTGAGACTGGAAAAATAGATTGAGACCAAGTTGTGAGGGGTCCTAAAAGCTAGACAGAGGAATTTAAATTTGATTCTAGAAGGCAGTAGGAAGCCAGTGGTGTTGGTTGAGTAGGGGAGTGACAGTCAAATCTGTGCTTAAGGAGAATTCTAGGATGGTCTGAGTGGACAGAGACTTGAGGTTGGGAGACCAATTAAAAGACTGTTGCAATAAACTAGGCAAGAGGTGATGAGAGGACTTGAACTAAGGGGGTAGCTATATGATCAGAGAGGACAGGTAAGATGATAGATATATCCTGGGGAGGTAGAGAAACAGCAAGATTTTGCAGCTGAATGGATGCATGGGTTGAAGGGAGAGTCAAGAGTCCAGAAAAATGCTTGGTTACTGTTTGTTACTGGGTGCTCTGACTTGGTAAAGCCTTATGTCTTGGGGGTGGAAAGAGACAATACTCTTACTAGAAAAGTATAAAGATTGAGGAAGTGCTTTAAAGAAAGTATCAAGCTATGTGCCTCAGTATTTATTGTTCAGATTTGTGACATAGGAATATAAATGCACTGTGCTGGAAATGACTCCATCCATATCAAGCAGCTTCTCTTTGGTATGTATTTTGTCATTTATGCTTTCCTTTTAAGTGATCTATTCCAAGGTAGAAAATTTCAGTCTTACAAATAGGTACTTGAGCTTGCAAGTTCATTGTAGAATGATTCTACTTTACAAAAGGGTTCATTGGATTTTTAAAGTTTCTGTACTGTACTTTAAAATTTTTAATTTATATTCAGCTTTTTGTTATTATTTAATATGAGATATTATTCATATTTTCCCACTAAAATCGTATGATAGATGGCATGGTATTTAGTGCTTTTAAAAGGTTTTTTTTTTAAATGCCTTTTATCACTTCAACTCTTCACACAATAATGTTCATTTTTTCCTGAATGTATCTAAAATCATTAGGACAGCATTTAGAAACATGATTCTTTGGGGGTTTTGCTATGACATGTTATCAAGACTTATATCCCAAAATGCCTAAAGTAGGCAGGAAAAAATAAGGCATTGTTTTTATGCTTTATAAAAAAAGATGTAGCCTTTTACTAGTGTCTGTCTCTAGTCTGTCTCTAGTCTGTCTCTAGTCACCCTTTTTATTTTTGAAATTTAATTATCGAAGTTAGAATCCAGTTTAGGACATGAGGACACTTCATTTTCATTCACAAGCCATTATTGGCTTACTCTTTAGCAAATTTTAATTATTTTGCTTTGTAAAAATGTTTGCCTAATGTAAACATATTTATTTTTTAATGTTTAGGATAAAGATGGAGATAGAGCTGTTCACCATGCAGCTTTCGGAGATGAAGGTGCTGTCATAGAAGTGCTACACAGAGGTAGTGCTGATTTGAATGCTCGAAATAAACGAAGACAGACTCCACTTCATATTGCTGTGAATAAAGGTCACCTTCAAGTTGTGAAGACGTTACTGGACTTTGGCTGTCATCCAAGTCTTCAAGTAAGATGGGTTTTAAAACATTTCCTTAGATATGTTAAGATATTCATAAAGTGATTATCTTATATTCTAGTAGTAAATAATGTATTCAGTTCTTATAAGATTTATCTCTATAAAGCTTTAAAACGTGTGAAATGGAAAATATTAAGGAATACATAATAAAATTGCAAATAGTTTGTCTTAGAATATAGTATTTCTCTGTCTTAGAATATAATGTTTCTCTTAGGATATATTAGCAGAAGGTATAGAGTAGGCTTGCTGAGATTTTTTGAAAAGTACTTAAAACCTTGTGTCTTCTATCAGCCCTACTTCTTATTTCGATTAATAATGTGAATTATGAAAATGAATTCAGGATCTCTTAGTACTTGGATCTTTCTTCATGGTGGAGTACATATATGCCTCTGTCATTGCCTTCCCATAGTACCCAGAGTATAAAGGTTTTTGGTCCAGCAACATATAATTATTCTCTATCATTTCTGGCTGTTACTAACTCTGGTTTTGAGACGCCTTAGTCCTTGGGCTACTATGACAATGCATAGGAACTTCCTGGGGATTAAAGTTCATTCTCTTGTGTTCAGGAAAAGGAAAAAGGTAAAAACCGTTTATTAGCTGTCTTTTTATAGCTCTTTTATTAAAGGATGGCCCCCAACCTAGCAGGTTGGGCGATGGATTCTTTCTGAATCGCTGAGACCCATTGAGGACCAGTGAACGTGTCTGTATCTATCCTCCAATTGGTGATGCATTAAAAATCCCAAATAAAACTCACTCCCTGTAAGCAGATCAAATTGAGCAGTGAACTTTCCTAATCAGACTATTTGTATTTAGTTTTTTCTTATAAAATCTCTTCAGCTGTTGGTTGTTCTTTTTATAGCATCACACCCTCTGCTCATTGTTTACATAGTAGGAATTTATCCGTCTAAAGAGAAAGGACTAGTAAGAATTAATTTTTTTCCTTCTGATTCTTTTCTCATTTTCAGTGAATCTTTTTGTATTTTCATTGCCTTTTTCAGATTCAGACCTTAACTAAAATTCATATTCTTATAAAATGCATAAGCTTCCTTCCTTTGACTTTTATTTCTAGCTATATAAGTAAAATTGCCAAATTGGCAGTTCTAGTTTGGTTCTTGTTTTCTATTTCTTTGGTAAGCACATGGAAAAGAAAATCAGTTTTTTGGACTGTCTTATGTCATAGGGATTTACCCTATGTTGTTTTGTTGTTATTTTTGCTGTTTTTTAAAGAGAAGGGGAAAGAAATAAGCATTTTTAGAGAGACTACTTTGTGCCAGGCAACAGTGTTGCGTGTTTTACAAATACCTTTTTCGTCTTCACAAATACCATGTGAGGTAGGTGCTGTTATTATCCCCATTTTACAGTTGAGGAAACTGGGGCAAACAAAGGTTAAGTGACTTGCCAAGGGCCAATCAGCCTGTAAGTAAACCCAGGTTTGAAGTCAGGTCTTCCTGACTCCTAGCAATATATATGCACTGCACTGCCTACCTGTGTGCTTTAGAGGGTTCATCTTAATTTGTCAAACTTAAGAGATCATTTAATGGAGGAGTTCAGTTTCCCCATCCCGAAATGTCAAAATACCAACTGAACATATAATATTATAACTCTAAACACTTGGAATAATAATAATAGCTAATTTATATTGAGCTTTAGGATTTATAAAACTCTTTACAAATATTATTTCATTTGTTCCTTACAATAGCTCTGTAAGGTAGTTGCTGTTGTTATCCCTATTTTACAAATGAAACCCAGAGAGGGTAAATGACTAGCCCAGGACCATACAGCTAGTAAGTAGATGAAGCAGAATTTGAACTTAGGTCTTGCAGACTCCAAGTCCAACACTCTAATTAGCTATTCAAAGTATTTTCCTTTTCCTAGTAACCTTGAATTTCTCTGGGAGTAAGGCAGGACAGGGATAGAAGAAAGGAAGAATGTGAGTCACTAGAATGAGTAGGGCTTGAATAAACAATATTATTTAAGGGATCTTGCCTGGGTACATGGTCTGGTTCTATCACCAGTGTTAGCTGATGACATCAGTCTGAGACCCTGCTTGTTAGCCCTCTTGAACCACCAGACTACATTGTAGGAATACCAAAGTAGTAATCATAGTGAGTGAGAAAAACTATTTTTGTGTTCCTAAGTTTATAATGATTAGGCATAGAAGTTTTCTGCTGGGTATTGCTATGGCATGGCCCTCAGGAACTCACTGTTCATTTCTCTGGGGAATAACAGAGCCTCAACCCCAAAAACCCTGTTCCATAGTGCCTGGGGGCCACCTGTTACTTCCCATGTCTCTGATATAAGAGAGCAAGATAGATTGCAAGAGAAAGGGAGAGCTTGGTGAGGAATATGTGCTGTGACATGCTGTGACATCATTGGTGAAGGTGTTTTCTTCCACTGATAAAACTTTTAACCATTCTTATTCTATAGGTTCTTGTTTTTCCATAAATAACAGCAGACATTTATATAACTTTTTAAGGTTTACAAAATAGTTTATATATACCATCTTCACAACAGCTATATGAGGTGGGCATTAAGGGTGCTATTATTACCATCTTACAAACGAAGAATGCAACATTGGTCGACTTCCCTTTCTAGTTTTGTGTGTGTGTGAGATTATGTAAATAATCACCTATTGACTTTTCTACCTGGTAAAAGAATGTATCTTAAGCTTGATGAATTAAGATGAACCTCCTTCAAGAAAAACTGGAATATAGGCATATATACATATATGCATATGGATTGACCCTATGATTTCATTGGTATAGGGAACCCCGTGGTGAGGAAATTCCTTTACCAATGTAGGTCAGCACCTTCTCTGCCACTTATAGTCTTTGAAAGTTGTTTGGAGGCACATGCACCTCCATTAACTCTTTAGTAAACTCTTATCCTTTGTGTTTGGCATGTACTTTGTCACAGACAGCTGGCTCAGAACTTTCCCAGTAGGCTTTATTCAATATTTCATCCTGTTTAAATGGGAGGGAAGAAGAAGCCGATTCAAGGATCAGATAGGGTAGGCCTCTCAAATCCCTGTCCTGGAGATTGAGTAGGAGTTGTAGTTGACTGGCTGGTGGATTGGGAAAGACCATAGAGAATCTGGAAATAACTTCTTCTACATCTCTGATCAGGGTCATTAGAAAAGACAGTTTGTTCATGAATTCTGAACAGGAATAAAGTGGTGGAGTCTGTGGCCTTGCAGTTTCTCTGAGTTCTGCCCACATGCACTTATCCTCATACACACAAATATATTTAACTTTACTCATATAATCAAAGCCAAAACGTGCCATACACACATATATACAGAAGAACACACATGTACACGCGCATATCCTGAGCTTTCTCTTGCTTCCGCTTTGAGCAGCTAGGGCTGAAGAAATATCTAAAGACTTTCCTTATTAATAAAAATAAGAATAAATAACACATATACCCAACCTTCCCTGCCCACTACCCATTATTCCAGGGTTACTGAGCCCTTCTGTCTCTCTAAGCAAACTCTTACTCAGCCCAGGGGCAGTGACCTCTCTTCCAGTGAATAATAGAGTGTGTACACATTCCCCAGCATGGATGCAGTCTTTCCTAAGACCAGTGGTTGGTACCAAAGAATTTAACCACTCTCCAAGATTGGTTCATACCTTCATCATAAGCTTCATCCTCCAACCTGCTGAGAAAATGGAAAGAAAAGGGGAAGGACTCAGTGGTTCCTGACCTCCGGGAAGAAGGAGAAAAAATGGAAGAGACTTTATTTCCTTGACGAAGATTTTCTTTTCTGCCAGGACTCAGGAATGGGAGTAAAATCATTGTTGTCCTCTAAACACAGTTGTGAGACCTTGGGGAGAGACTGGTGGCCACTGGTATTGAGGGCAGTCAAGTCTCAGTTGGTCACAGTTGAACACGAGTACCAAAACTTCTTTCCCCTACTACTAAACCAGCAAAAAGGGGTGCCTGCAGGAAAAGGCTAGAGGGGAAGAGGGATTGAAGTTGAATGAACCTTCTGAAACAAAGGTGCTGCAGTGGTCCTGGCTGCTGCTAGGTTAAAGCCCTGAATTTAGGGTTCGTTGTGGTATAGAGCCGGGCCGTACCTTCTGGGCTTTGGCGACCTCTTTCCTAAGGCCTGATTTAGGTCACTGCAAGTCTCTGGCTGCTGTTTTGGGCCTACAAGACCCTAGCAGAGACATGAATAATAGATACCTCTAAATGTAAAAAAGAAGAAAGTTACTTAGAGTATTAACAAGGTTAAGTGACTTTTCCAGGGTCACAGTCATTGTATGTCAGAGGTGGTACTTGATCCCACATCATCTTGACTCCAAGGCAAACCCTATAGTCATATTCTCAGTGATTGTCTTTTACGCCACATCTTTTACTTGGTCATTCTTGGCAACAAAATGCTATAGTCTGCCTAAGTTTACCATTGCCTTTCCTTCGACCTTTGGGTTATTTGTAATTTAAATACAAATTTCAGCTATTACAGTGTTCCTTGCTTCAGAGCTATATTAACCTCAGGGAGAGAAAATTGATGTTATATGGGACCTTTTGCGTCAGTGAGCAGTCTAGGATGATTAA